AATTCACAATATACTATCATCAAAAATATGTTAGATGAGAGGCCATACGGGGTCCCTTCTAGAATCCAACTACTCTTGAAGATGAACACTATCGTTTAAATACTTTAAAAATCAGTGAAAAGTGTAAAGAAACTCTAATTTAAAGCGTCAGTCTTGTTTTTAAAATACAATTGGCTAGTCCTGAAGACAGGAAAATAAAATTAGTAAGTCGGCTTTACGATTACCTCTTAGTATTCACTTTTCCTATGACATCAATATATCGTATTTGCCTGGTTTAAAGACTATAAATATTTAGCTTTAGGTGAACACAAGTGCTATACTTTTGTAGCTTTCCAATACAAAAATTCAACCTGTAAGTTAGGAAGAGAATTTTAACGCATGCACATTGATCAAAACATAAGCAATACTCCGAATTTTGATATTATCATTAAGTTTTGTTGCTTTGAGATTATAATGACTTCTTTTGAGGTTGCAAACTTTGCCACTATACATTTATGGGTGGGGCAAATTTGTCCCAGATGCACATGGTGCAGAAAATAACGGGTTATAAAAACGGGAAAGCTTCCGTCGTGTAGGAGGCGCTTTATAAAGTTTGTCAGAATTTGCATGTCTTAGTGGTTGACTCATTCCCAAATCTTAGCTTCAACTCTAGTTGTGCGATTGGGGCACGGTACTAGTACAAAGGAAAATTAACCATAAGAAACGCGCGAAAGGGAACGTGAAAGTTGAGTGATCCCTTCCTTGGGGCTGAGGCAGAGGAACAGAAGCCGCAAGTTTGGGCGTTGGAGGTTAGCAAGATGCCGAGCCGGGGTGGGGGTGGGGGTGGGGCCGGGGCAGAGGCGGGACCCCGAGAAGACAGAGCGACCACGGGAGGCCAGACACGGCCCGGGCGGCACCAGCCCACTTACCAGGCCAGGCCCAGGCACGTCCCCAGCGACAGCAGGCTCACGCCGTTCCGGGGGTCCATCCAGCCCCCGCCTCCACTGCACCGAGCCTCGGGGTTCTTCCCGCTCTCACTCCGCTTCCCAGGCTCCGCGGGGGCTCCCTTGAGCCCCGACTTCTTTCGACTCTTCACCTCGGACATGTCTGGAGATTCTCAGGACGACAAACCCTAAGGCGGCCTCTTCACCCTGGGATAGCGGGACGTGGCTGCCTCCGCCTCTGCAGGAAGCCTCGGCGGTGACCGCGCCCCTTTTCAGACTTGGCACCGCCCAGAAATCAGCCCCCTCCTCTGCCGGATTTAGCTGCTCCACAGAAGCCGCCAGCCACCCTCCTTCTAGTTCTTCCAGCTGAGGAAGGCGGGTTCTCTGCCTTAATGATGCAAACCTGGAGAGAACTTGGCTCCCGGGCCGCCGGGACACGAGGGGG